TATTTTTTCTTTCTTAAACATCTATTTATGAAAATATTTCTGATTCATTTAGCATCTCTTGATAGTCTAGTTTTAATTATAAGGTTTCCCTGTTAATTGGAATATTTTAGCATTCATTATTATGATAAATGTAGTTGATATAAGTAATTAACATTTTTATTCAGAAATGATCAAATGCATCATAAGAGAGCATAGGGGAAACAGATAATTCCATCTTCCTAAAATTTTCACAATGAATATTTTTGGAAGTTCTTGAGATATTCATTTATATATCCTGTGTCACTAAAATTGAAATAGACTTTTGTCTTCAAAATATCAGGGACTAAAATTACTTATCCTAATAATAAAAAGAGTGAGAATTAAACATTTTAAAAGCTAAAACATGGTTTATATGATAGATAATTATATATGTCTGTTGAAGTATACTTTATTATACAAGTCTGCATGTCTTCATTCTTTGTTTGTTCCTTTGTTTTTTTTAATTCTTTCACTGATACATTCTTTTTTTTTTATTGATTGTTTGTTCATTCATTCATTCATAGCCACATATATATGTGGATATATTATCTTGATGTTTTATAACATCTAGATAATATTCAACGATCTTTCTTATGAGGGCATTTGATCATGATCATGAAAACCCATACTGTACACAATAAACAAATTATATTTACGCCTAAAAGTGTACAAAACAAGAGGCTGTCAGAGTGACAGCAAACCGGATTTTCCTGCAGAGGTCGAACCCTGAACAGTTGAGCAAGTATGGACACTACATTTAAGCTTAAAACAGCTCTGAATTTGGATTGTGATTGAATATTTGACACAGCATAGGTTTGTGACACAAAATGAATGTGGTCAAAGAACTGAAATATTTGAAATTGGACATTTACTTATTATGGTCCAATATATCCAAAATCTAAGTACATATTAGAATCAGCATATCAAAGAACCCCAAGAATTCAATTTTTGATGAAATCAGACAAAGGTTTAATTTAGGACCCTTTGGACCTCAATGTGGACCAATTTGATAAAGGAGCCCACAATTCAAAATCTCTCAATACATGGTTAGATTCAGCATTTCAAAGAACCCCATAAATTCAATTTTTGTTGAATCAAACAAAGTTTAATTTTGGACCCTGATTTGGACCAACTTGAAAACTGGGCCCAAAAATCTGATATTTAAATACAGGTTTAGATTCAGCATTTGAAAGAACCCTAATATATATTTAATTTATGTTGAAATGAAACACAGGTTAATTTTATCCATAATATTTTCTGTGCAAAGGGAAATAACTCAAACTGGATAAATAGTTCTCTAAATTAAGATATGATGCAATTTTTCAAATTATAATCAATAATATAATGACAACAACCAGTGATGACTAAGTTCTCTAAAATTAGATACGATTTAACACTCAAACATTGTTAGAATCAGCATATCAAAGATCCAAAGAATTCAATTTTTGATGAAATTAAACAAAAGTTTAATTTAGGACCCTTTGGACCTCAATGAGTTCACTTCATCAAAAAAAATATATAGCATTCAGAAAATTAGTTTTTACAGAATAACAAACAAACTTGCCACAAAATTCTTCAAACAATTTACCTTAGAAAAGAAGAAAAAAATCCAAAATTTTATTTATCATTTATACAATGTCTTTTCAAAATCTATAAAACTTATCAGTAACAAGAAATAATTGTAACAGGATGCTGTTACGAAGTCTCCCAAACAAAGCTCCAATAATTCATCATTCCCATGATCGCCTGACATTAGTCAAAGTCCAGTACAATTGGTTTGTGATATGCATAAGTGACGCCTATGGATTGACCCAGGAATATATATGGTTTAGGGGTGGAGATCTCGACCATTTACAAGTTCTCAAAAATGGGGGGGGGGAGGGGGGGGGGGGCGGGTAATCCCCAGGGGACTCCTTTTTTAGCTCACTTGGCCCTTGGCCAAGTGAGCTTTTCTCATCACTTGTCGTCCGTTAACTTTTACAAAAATCTTCTCATCTGAAACTACTGGGCGAAAGTTAACCAAACTTGGCCACAATCATCATTGGGGTATCTAGTTTATAAAATGTGTCCGACGACCCGGCCCACAACCAAGATGGCTGCCATGGCTAAAAATAGAACATAGGGGTAAAATGTAGATTTTGGCTTATATCTCTGAAACTAAAGCATTTAGAGCAAATCTGACGGGGGTAAAATTGATCATCAGGTCAAGATCTATCTGCCCTGAAATTTTCAGACAAATCAGACAACCTGTGTTGGGTTGCAGCCCCTGAGTTGGTAATTTTAAGAAAACTTTGCAGTTTTTGGTGATTATCTTCAATATTATTATAGATATAGATAAACTGTAAACAGCAATAATGTGCAGCAAAGTAAGATCTACAAATAAGTCAACATGACCAAAATGGTCAATTGACCCCTAAGGAGTAATTGCCCTTATAGTCAATTTTTAACAATTTTTCATAATTTTTGTAATCTTTTACAAAAATTTTCTCCTCTGAAACTACTGGGCCAAATAGAATCAAACTTGGCAACAATCATCATTAGGGTATTTAGTTTAAAAAATGTGTCCGTTTGATCCAACCCGCCGACCAAAATGGCCGACATGGCTAAAAGTAGAGCATAGGGGTAAAATGCAGTTTATGGCTTATATCTCTGAAACTAAATCATTTATAGCAAATCTGACAACTGGTAAAAATGTTCATCAAGTGAAGTTCTATCTGCCCTGATATTTTTAGACGAATCAGACAACCTGTTGTTGGGTTGCAGCCTCTGAATTAGTTATTTTAAGGAAATTTTGCAGTTTTTATACGGCAGCAAAAAAATTTTGCGGTCGTATATTGGTATGATGTTGGTGTGGTCTTCGTCCTTGTCGTTTGAAGACACATTGGTTTTCGCACTCTAACTTTAGTTTAAGTAAATGGATCTCTATGAAATTTTACCATAAGGTTTAATACCACAAAAGGAAGGTGGGGACTGATTTTGGGGGTTATGGTACCAACAGTTAAGGAATTAGGGGCAAAAAAGGGGCAAAAAATAAGCATTTTTGTAACTTCCAGACATAACTTGTGTGTTAGTGTATGGATCTCTCTGACATTGTACCACAGGGTTCCATATCACAAAGGGAATGCTGGGATTGATTTTGGGGGTAATTGCCTCCAAATTTTAGGAATTAGGGGCCAAAAAGGGGCAAAAAACAAGCATTTTTCTAGTTTCATGACAATAACTTGTGTGTGAGTGTATGGATCTCTCTGACATTGTACCACAAGGTTCCATATCACAAAAGGAATGCTGGGATTGATTTTGGGGGCAATTGCCCTAAACATTTAGGAATTTTGGGCCATAAAGGGGCCAAAAAACAAGCATTTTTCTAGTTTCATGACAATAACTTGTGTTCAAGTGTATGGATCTTTATGAAATTGTACTACAAGGTTCCATATCACAAAGGGAAAGCTGGAATAGAGTTTGGGGGTAATTGCCCAAATCGTTTAGGAAAAAGGGGCCAAAAAGGGGCCAAAAATAAGCATTTTTCTAGTTTCAGGACAATAACTTGTGTGTAAGTGTATTGATCTTTATGAAATTGTACTACAAGATTCCATATCACAAAGGGAAAGCTGGGTTTGAGTTTGGGGGTAATTGCCCTAAACATTTAGGAATTTGGGGCCATAAAGGGGCCAAAAAACAAGCATTTTTCTAGTTTCCAGACAATAACTTGTGTTCAAGTGTATGGATCTCTCTGAAATTGTACTGCAAGGTACCATACCTCAAAGGGAAGGCTGGGATTGAGTTTTGGGGCGATGAATCATAAGGGGGTTCAAAAAATTTTGGGGGGGGATTTTTTTTTCTGTTTTTTTCATTAAAATTTTCCATTTTAAATTGGTTATTTCTGATTTATATATAAAAGCAAATAATAATGATATGGTTTGAATAGGTAAATTAAAAACTTTTAAGTTCTTAGACCACATTCATTCTGTGTCAGAAACCTATGCTGTGTCAAATATTTAATTACAATCCAAATTCAGTGCTGTATCAAGCTTGAATGTTGTGTCCATACTTGCCCTAACTGTTAAGGGTTCGACCTCTGCGGTCGTATCAAGCTGCGCCCCAGCGGAGCATTTTATTGGTTATTATCTTGAATATTATTATAGATAGAGATAAACTGTAAACAGCAATAATAGTCAGCAAAGAAAGATCTACAAATAAGTTAACATGACCAAAATTGTCAATTGACCCCTTAAGGAGTTATAGTCAATTTTTTACAATTTTCGTAAATTTTTGTAATCTTTTACAAAAATCTTCTCCTCTGAAACTACTGGGCCAAATAGAATCAAACTTAGCCACAATCATCATTAGGGTATTCAGTTTAAAAAATGTGTCTGATGACCCTGCCTGCCAACAAAGATGGCCAACATGGCAAAAAATACAACATATGGGGTAAAATGCAAGTTTTGTTAATGATCTGATAACAGTTATAAAAAGAGGAAATCTGAAGAGGGTAATATTGTTCAGAATGTTGAGCTCTACCAATTATCCATATACGTCAAAACTTTAAGACAATTTCCTGTAGGAGTTATTGCCCTTAAATGACAAATTTTACCACTTTTTTTCGATTTTTGCCTATTATCATATCTTGAAAACTATAAAAGATAGAGAGAAACTTTAAATTGCAAAAATGATCAGAAGGACAAGTTCTTCAAATAAGTCTTATGGTTGAAATCATCAGTTGACTCCTTATTAGAGTTATTTCCCTTTGATGCCGATTTGTACAATTTTTTTTTGCGTTTTTGTCTTATATCTTAAAACTTATAATAGATAGAAAGAAACTTAAATATACAAAAATGATCAGCAAGACAAAATCTACAATTAAGACAAATGGCAGAAATTGTCCAACGACTCCTTATTGGAGTTATTGCCCTTTAATTATGATTTTTGTTGAGCCTGCGACAGCTCGACATAGGGATAGTGATCCGGCAGTGGCGGCGGCGGCGTTAGCTTACTTCATAAAAGCTTTATATTTTAGAAGCTAGAAGACCTGGATGCCTCATACTTTGTATATAGATGCCTTATGTTACGAAGTTTCCATCTGTCATATGTCCATTTTCCTTGACCTCATTTTCATGGTTCAGTGACTACTTGAAAAAAAAGTCAACATTTTTTGTTATGTTAATTTCTTTCTTGTTATGAGTAATAGGATAACTATATTTATTATGTGCGTACCTTGCAAGGTCCTCATGCCCGTCAGACAAATTTCATTTGACCTCGACCTCATTTCATGGATCAGTGAACAAGGTTAAGTTTTAGTGGTCAAGTCCATATATCAGATACTATAAGCAGTAGGTCTACTATATTTGGTATATGGAATGATTGTAAGGTGTACATGTCCAACTGGTAGGTGTCATCTGACCTTGACCTCATTTTCATGGTTCAGTGGTCAAAGTTAAATTTTTGAGTTTTGGTCTTTTTTTCTAATACTAAAGGCAATAGGTCAACTATATTTGGTGTATGGAAATATTTTATGATGTACATGTTAGTCTTGCAGGTTTTATTTGACCTTGACCTCATTTTCACAGTTCATTTCTCAGTGTTAAGTTTTTGTGTTTTGGTCTGTTTTTCTTCAACTTTAAGCAATAGATCAACTATATTTGTTGTATGGAAGGATTGTAAGGTGTATATGTCTGTCTGGCAGGTATCATCTGACCTTGACCTCATTTTCATTGTTCATTGGTCAATGTTAAGTTTTCATGGTTAAGTTTGTTTCTTAGATACTATTAGCAATAGGTCAACTATATTTAATGCATACATTGATTGTAAGGTGTACATGTCTGTCTGGCATGGTTCATCTGACCTTGACCTCATTTTCATGGTTCATTGGTCAATGTTAAGTTTTCTTGGTTAAGACTGTTTCTTAGAAACTATAAGCAATAGGTCAACTATGTTTGGTTTATTGAATGATTGTTAGGTGTACATGTATTTCTCGTTTGGTTTATCTGACCTTGACCTCATTTTCTTGGATCATGTTAAGTTTATGTGTTACGTAGTAAAGCTTTATATTTAGGACTGTCAGTAACTGCTAGTAGTCTGTTATTTATGTATTATTGTCATTTTGTTTATTTTCTTTTGTTTCCTATTCTGACATCGGACTCGGACTTCTCTTAAACTGAGTTTTACTGTGCGTACTGTTGTACGTTTGTTTTTTCTACATTGGCTAGAGGTATAGGGGGATGATTGAGATCTCAAAAAACATGTTTAACCCCGCCGCATTTTTGCGCCTGTCCCAAGTCAGGAGCCTCTGGCCTTTGTTAGTCTTGTATCATTTTAAATTTAGTTTCTTGTGTATAATTTGGAGTTTAGTATGACGTCCATTATCACTGAACTAGTATACATATTTGTTTAGGGGCCAGCTGAAGGACGCCTCCGGGCGTGGTAGTTTCTCGCTGCATTGAAGACCCATTGGTGGCCTTCGGCTGTTGTCTGCTCTATGGTCGGGTTGTTGTCTCTTTGACACATTCCCCATTTCCATTCTCAATTTTATCAACATAAAATCAATGGTTAGTAAAGAAGGCGAGACATTTCAGCGTGTGCACTCTTGTTACCATTTTTTTGGCGTTTTTCCTTGTATGATATTAATTATAATAGATAGATAGAAACTTAAATAATCAAAAATGATAAGCAAGACAAGACCTACTAACAAGTCAAATTTTGCTGATATAATAAGTAGACTGTTACTCTTTATAGGTGTTTTTTTACCCTCTTTTGTGTTTAGAGCAAAAGCTAAATAAGATCATGAAGATAAGAGAGAAACTAAACAGACTTCAATGATCAGCAATATAAGATACAAAAAAAACCAGAGATTTTTGTCATTAATTCTATTCTCATCTACAATGTTGGAGAGTGTCCCCTGTTGAATATGCATATAGACCAAGGTGAGCGACACAGGCTCTTGAGAGCCTCTAGTTTTGTCCCATACAAGAATATATATGGTTTAGGGGTGGGGATCTCGACCTTTTACAAGTTCTAACACAGGAGGGGGTGGGGTGACCCCCGGGTACTCGCCTTTTATTTAATTTGATTTGTTTTATTGTCCCATACAAGAATATATATGGTTTCAGGGTGGGGATCTTGACCGTTTACAAGTTTTCAAAAAGAAAGGGGGTGGGGGTGACCCCCCTGAACTACCCCTATATTTCATTTGATTTGTTTTATTGTCCCATACAAGAATATATATGGTTTAGGGGTGGGGATCTCGACCGTTTGCAAGTTCTCAAACAGGAGGGGGTGGGGGTGACCCCAGGGGACTCGCCTTTTATTTCATTTAATTTGTTTTATTGTCCCATACAAGAATATATATAGTTTCCAGGTGGGGATCTTGACCGTTTACAAGTTTTCAAAAAGAAAGGGGGTGGGGGTGAACCCGGGGACTCCCCCAATATTTCAATTGATTTGTTTTATTGTCCCATACAAGAATATAAATTGTTTAGGGGTGGGGATCTCGACCGTTTACAAGATAAAAGCACATTCTCAAATTGAAGGAGGGTGGGGGTAAGAATATATATGGTTTAGGGAGACTTAATTATATACAAAATGTCTAATAATGAACAGTAAATTTCAAACTTCATTTATACAGTCCTACTAGTAAATTTCAAATTATTTACATACAGTCCTACAGATCTTATCAGAAAACAGAAAATTTTCTAATAAATCTGTCACTCCAACAATTATCATATGCTAAGATATTTCCCAGATCTAATTAATAATGAAAATCATACTTGCAAATCTGAAGTGTTATTTCCCTTTGAACAGAACTATGGTTTAACATAGTACTCTAACATTACATATATAATAATTAATAATGCAATTAACTTCAAAATGTCTAATAATATAGCTTATAATCATCACCACTTAGGAAATAGAAAATTTCAAATAAATCTGTCACTCCAATTTTTATTGTGAGATAAGACATTTACCATCTGCTTAGTCATAATATGATAACAAGAGAAAAATATTTAAAAATACCACTTTTGGATATTAAAAATGGCGATAACTCAAAAAGGAGAAATACTAAAATCGTGAAAATTGAACTTGACCTTCGCCCTTCCCTAGATTTTCCATCAAACATGATGGAATTTTGTGATGGAAAAAATGCCATCACATTCCATCATGTTGATGGAGTATTGGAACAACTTTCCATCAACTTTCCATCAATGCTGGAAAATGGTTGATGGAAAAGGTTTGATGGAATTTGTGTTCATGATGATGGAAAATTGATGGCATAATTTCCATCTGATGGATAATTGATGGTATTTTTGCCATCTGATGGATAATTGATGGTATTTTTGCCATCTGATGGAAAACTGATGGTAATTTTGCTATCAGATGGAAAACTGATGGAACATTTTCCATGTAATGGAAAACCAATGGAATATTTCCATTACATGTAAAATGCATAGAAACTTGATGGAGAATTGACCATCAGATGGAATTTGATGGATGAGTAAGGAGAATGTCTTTAGAAAATCTTTCCATTTATGGCATTTTCTGTGATTAAATAAACAATATTTGTTCTCTGTCGTCTATAGGTAGTCCTGTTACATGTGTGTATCTTTTCATTCAGTGTCCCATTGAACTCGCTGTCCTTAAAGTTGAATTTGTTCATGGCAAATTCTGCAAAATAAAAGTAAAAGAATCTAGCATATAAAAGAATAAGTTAACATTGTACAGATATAAAGTTAGTTAGTAACATTTGTTGTCAATTCTGAAATTATCAAATGAAAATAACACTTTTTGAAAAGATTTGTATTAATGTGTCACTTGCAGGGTCAATTTCTAAGAGTGTCAAATCCTTCTAGAAATTTAATATTCAGAGGTGGATTTAGGAAAGGGGGCTCCCCCTTTCTGAGCTTTAGGTCTACATAACTTATTGCATAGAAGTTTTATAAGTCTTACTCCTAAGTAATGTTGACTTAATTGCCACCTTCACCACCCTGGTTCAGCAGCTGATATATAACTGTACAATACATTAAACCTCATTTCAGTACTAAATTATCATCATTATAATAAGTGACTGTCCATAGAAATAAAGAGGTTGTCCTTTCTTTTTTGTTTAATATTTGTTTTTCATAATCATTGTACTATAACATAATGGGTCTTGCCCATGTTTTATATCATACTTTTGGTGGGTAGTGTATATACTATACATGTATATATAAAGATATATTGTTTTACCATTTGTGGATATATAAATGTCATATTGTCAGTCACACCACAGATCTCTAATTTTATAGCAAAATTACTTTTTCAGAAGTACTATGTTATAAAACAAATAATGTTTTAAAATGATACAAAATATGACTCATGTCCTACACAATTTTATGATATGTATATGCATATTTTTTGTGTCATTTGGTCTCTTGTGGAGAGTTGTCTCATTGGCAAGCATACCACATCTTCTTTATTAATACTTTTTATAAATCTATGACCTTCTTTTTTTCTTGACTCTTGAAAGTTAATAAAACACTTTAAATGTCACTACTTTGAACTAAAAGAGCATGCACATATATTCAAAATTGTGGAAATTCTAATACATTGTACTTACCAAAAGATATAATCCAAAATATGTGTACACACTAATCTTCCTAAATCCAAGAGACATATGTCATCAGAAGAAGGCATGTTTACAAAATGTTCAAAAGAGCCAAAGACCAAAAAATTAAGTTCAGCGCCTTTTATGGAGACAAATACTACATTCATACAAAGGCTTTTGTGTATTTCAATTGAAATAATAGCAAGCTTATTTTAAAGATTATAATAAGGGAAAAATTCTCGTCAGTACTTGCCAAACTTCACAAATTTAAAGTTGTTTATAAAAGTTATATCATGAATGATGGTAACAATTACGTTTTTTTGGGTAATCAGTTATACCGCATGTTGCTGTTATTACCATAGGAAAACAATCGAGACGTCCAAAAATATATATAGGCGGTAACACTACACAGTTTTGTACATACACATGGCGACACGAAACACAATCGGAAATCCATTTTACGATATTAAATGTTTCAAAACGGAGTTGAAAATATTGTGCGCCACGTGGGCACTTACATTTGTCACTCTATGCGGCATTTCTGGTCGAAAAGGGCAATTGGCGCAAGGCGGATGTCTTCCCGATCACTGTGTTTAATAGCTTATTTAAATGGCTGTCAAGTTCCCATTAAAAAAAATTGACTTGTATTTATTTTAATGTCAGATCGTTAAAACTCCTATCAAAATTAGATACTAGTACTTACTACAAGCAAACTTGTTGACCATTTTTAATGGCTGCTTAGATTGTTAAATTACAGTCAAAATGGTTCCCACCCCCACCCTCTCCTCCTCATGTTCACTAATACCCTTAAGCATTTCATTGTCTTAATTCAATAATTGTATTTAGATACACATTGTTCACCATGGCTTAATGATGCTCGCTGTTCAGTTTCAAATATAAATAAAAATCAGATATAAAGGATACATGTTAAGTTCTTCTAGACCTCCTTTCTGTAATTAAATTTGCTGTTTCTGTACTTCCAACTAGTATTGCTGAGTAAAGGTAACTGGAATCTGCATTCAATCTGTTTACTATCAAAATTGGCAGCTCCATTTTAAAATCATTAAATACCCTAAAAGTAAAAAAAAAATCCACAAAGAATCAATTGTTCAAGGCGTTTTGAAGCAATAAATTCAATAGAAATATTATTGCATGTTTATACAGTACATGGGAAGCCATTTGGAATCAAATTAATTACCCTCCCCCTTTTTTTATCCCCTGAAGATTAAAAACCGGTGACTTGTTATTTTCACCAAATAACCATTCACACAACTCAATATTTTTTTACATGTCTACCAGTTATGCCTGTTATGTGACAACAAGATTATTCATTGTCAAACACTCATGTTAAAAATAAATATAATTTTCAGTTTATGATTTCAGACTTTCTGATGTTGATTTGCTCAAATAAAAACAATACAAAAATCATAGTTCCTCAATAAATTATAATTTATAATCATAATATACACATGTTGAATTAAATTTTTAATGCACTTATCTGAAAACATCTGCATCGGATTTTCCAGTTTGATCTCCATATCAACGTAATCACATTTTGATGACGTATTTCTCAAGTGCGCTAACTTCGAAGTGACAATCTCGTCCCATATTATATCGACCAGAAGTTGATCCGTTCCCGTACCGGTATTGTTGTTGTTGTTGTGCCTGTAAATTCCTCCGTTGACTTCGGAGCACCCTGTCGTAAACAGGTATAAGTTTACCAATTGAAAAGATTGGTGGTGGTGTTCGAAAAAAAAAAAAAAAAAAAAAAAAAAAAAATTAAGTTCAGCACCTTTTATAGAGACAAATACTACATTCATACAAAGGCTTTTGTGTATTTCAATTGAAATAATAGCAAGCTTATTTTAAAGATTATAATAAGGGAAAAATTCTCGTCAGTACTTGCCAAACTTCACAAATGTAAAGTTGTTTATAAAAATTATATCATGAATGATGGTAACAATTACGTTTTTTGTCAGCTAATGTTCCTAGACACAGATAACAACGAGAAAACCTTGTATAAATGACCTAGATCAAAGAGTCTGAGCTATGTTTGCTGTTAATAAAACACAAGTTGAGTAAAATGTCATTTATTCAGAAATTAATTTAAAACGCAACTTACATCTTAACAATTATAATAGTACTGCATAAATGACAATGACTTTAATAAGCAAAGGTGGGGTTGAAAAAGTGCCACACCCTAACATAATGAACATCATAAAAATGACAAAAATAAAAGTGAGTTGAAAAAATTAACTCACCAACATATATATATACAAAGTATATAAACAATACAATGAATATTGTCCTTAATTGATGTATAAAGAAAAATAAATGTCCTATATAATAACGCTTAAAAGGGAGGGAAATGGGAGGGTTTTCAGATAAAATTCAAAAACGACCTTTTCTCTCTCCCAAAACAAAGGCGAATGACCGCATGTCCGAGCACATGTAGAAATTTGATATTAATTACCGATCTCAAGAACTGACCAATCAGATAATGTAATTAAATGATCATGCATTGAACATGCAGTCCTTGACCTCATGTTGATATACTTAAACAAAGAAATGCCTTCTTACACACATGGCATTAATAAAATCAATATTATCGGAAATTCCAGCCAAAAAGTCTTTTATTTACAATAAATGTTATTTTGTCAGCTAATGTTCCTAGACACAGATAACAACGAGAAAACCTTGTATAAATGACCTAGATCAAAGAGTCTGAGCTATGTTTGCTGTTAATAAAACACAAGTTGAGTAAAATGTCATTTATTCAGAAATTAATTTAAAATGCAACTTACATCTTAACAATTATAATAGTACTGCATAAATGACAATGACTTTAATAAGCAAAGGTGGGGTTGAAAAAGTGCCACAAATCCCAAGAGGGATCCCCATCCGAGGACTCTGGATTCAACTTAAGGAACTCCAGAACTAGAAAAATTGAGCAAGCCATGTTGACCTCAACAAAAAACACCCAAAATGGAATAAAATATACACCTTTTAACTTTTGCATTTCAAGTAAAAGTGTAGAGCAAACCATGTTGACCTCTACAAAAACATTAACACAGATTATAAACAAAGCAAAAAATAATATATACTAATATAATGAAACTTGTAAATGAAAGGTAAAGCAAGCCATGTTGACCTCTACCAACCAAATAAATACCATTACATATATAGTAAATGACTGATGGCAAAAACTTAAATTTGCAGAGCAAACCATGTTGACCTCTACAAAAGTAAATAATTCTAACATGTATAAAACAGTCTTGTTAATCCTTACAAAAAATGAATCACAATAAGGTAAAGCAAGCCATGTTGACCTCTACCAAAGCACTTAGTAAGCGACTGTGATTATATTAAATCTAAGTGTGAAAATTATCAAGTCGAATATAATGTTGAAAAGCGTTTGACTTCCATCTACCCATGTTTTGGATCAAGGCTAAAGGCACACCTCTGGCAGCTGCAGATGTCGCAGCTCCAATTCTGAAACTGTGACCTTTATAAAAATTTGTGTCTAAACCTACGAAATTAAGCAAACTTTTTAATGAAGAATTGAAATAAAAACCTGAAACAGGTTTTCCACATTTAAATCGAAATAAAGGACCAAGTGGACAATAATGTAACCTTAGATATTCCTCAATAGCTTTAACAGGACATAGATAATTTTCAGGACGTCTAGCTATTGATAATGTCTTACTTTGCAGATTACTATGTTTGTAGAACTTCATAATAATTGTCATATTGCTCACATGACCATTTACTCTTTCAAACTTTATATCTTCCCTTTGAATTACTCTATAGAATTCAGACTCAGTTTTAACTGCAATTTCTCCAATACGTAAGAAACAAAAATAAGCAGTAGACATCATAGCCTTTAACAAAACTTGATTATAAATGCCAACTATTACTTTTGGTAAAGCCTTAACTAATTTTACAAGAATATCATAGGTTATTGGCAACCGTGTATCAACAGAATGTCTCAACTGTTTTGTACCTTTTAACATTTTTTTAATAAAAAATGTGTCTGTTGGATCCTGTAAGAACTTAATTTTATGTATAAAACTGATGGCTGATATGTATGACGCAATTGTAGATGGTTGATAATTTTGAATAAACAAATGTGAAATAAAATGAGCAACCATGACATGAGTAGATGGAAGTACAATAACTCCTGGAAAAATTTTCTGACAAAAATTTGAATACACACTTAGCATTCTATTATATGATGACACAGTAGCATCAGATAATGATGCACTAACAAGCTTATCAGTCATAGATGCAAAAATTGAGGTGGAATGGCCACAGGAGTTGGACTTAACCAAGGAGCAATCTGATGAGCTTCCTGAAATGAAAAACGAGACAACAAGTCACAAATAACGTTTGTTTTTCCAGGAATATGTTTGGCTCTAAAATAGATATTGTACTTTAATGCAGCTAGCACTAATCTTCGAATCAATTTCATAATATTCTTTTCTCGAGATGATATTTTATTTATAATTTCAGCAACAGCTGAATTATCTGTTAAAAACAGTATTTTATGATTTGCCAATAGAGGGCCCCATATATCAATAGCTAACACAATCGGGAAAAGTTCTTTCACTGTAATGTGTAAATCGACTAACTCCGGTGGCCATTCACCTGAAAACCATTTGCTGCCAAAAACTGCAGCAAAACCACCATATGTACCTGCAGCATCAGAAAAAAGTTTTAAAAAATCTGATGAAACCCATTCTTTAAATAAAAAACAAGATTTACCATTGTAATTTTCAATAAAATTGTACCATAACTTCAGATCTAATCTTGCATCAGAATTAAGATTGATTCTATAATGAGGAGATGTATGGCCTATAGTCAGGTCAAAAAGCCTACGTAAAAAGGCTCTTCCAGGTATGATAACTCCGCATGCAAAATTTAAAAGACCCAATAAGGATTGCAATTCTCTAAGTGAGATACTGCGTTTACATTTGTATTTACTCAATAATTGCAAAATTTTTTCAATTTTTTCCATAGGTAAACGAGCTACCATCTGAGTAGAATCAATTTCAATACCGTAGATAATAATGCAAGTAGTAGGGAGTTGTGTTTTGTCTGATTTGATGGGTACCCCCAATTTATCGGCAAGACAAAGAAAAGTTTGTAATGCACTATAGCATTCATTTGAGCCAGCTTTTCCGACAAAGAAAAAATCATCTAACAGGTGTGATACCCCATATATTTGAAATTTAGCATTTAAAATCCAGTGGAGGGCTGTAGAAAAAGACTCAAACAGCTGACACGAGGACGAAGCCCCCATGGGGAGGGAGACATCATAATAAAATTGTTTGTCCCAATGAAAACCCAATAGATGATGATCTTTTTTAGCAATTGGAATTAAGCGAAATGCATGCTCAATATCTGTTTTGGACATTAGACAATTTGATCCATAAGATTGGACTAAATCTATAACTGTTTCAATGTTTTGGTATTGTACAGCCGAAAATTCTGGGGAAATACCAGAGTTTACAGAGTCACCCTTAGGATACGACAAATCATGTATTAATCGTTAAGAATTGGGTTCCTTTTTTGGAACTAAACCCAAAGGGGAGCATACAAAGAGAGGGAAAGGGGGCTTTGTAAAAGGACCCTTAACTCTACCTGCTTCAATCTCTTTATTTAGTTTTGATTGCACAACATGATAATTTTCCCTTGCACTTTTATGATTTGGAGGAAAAATCTCTTTATTTAGGGATGTAGAAAAACAAGAATTAATTGAAAATCCAAAAGAAAAACCATGAATCAATTTATCTTTCAACTGTGTTTCATAACCTGCTAAAAAGTGTTTTAAATTTTCAACCTTTATTGGTGTTGGAAGTTTTGACAAAGTTTGCTTGTTTTCCTTTTTGCTCTGGGCATGTAAGGGTACAGTGTTTCTTGCTGCAGTGTACACATTGGTGTTTAAGTTTACAAAACTTTGATGTGCATTCCCCTGATTTACAGAAGGCCCAGCAATAGCCATTTGGGAATTGATACTGATGCTGGGCCCTCCTATGAAAAGAATTTGGGCCTGAGTTTGAGGTTTTGGCAAATGACTTCTTATTTTGACCTGAAAATTCAGATTGTCTGTCATATAAAGCTGCAGATCTCCAAAGTTCATCATTTATTTCATCCCATCGTAACCCTAAAATTTTCCTTATCTTCCTAAATTTCTCGTCATATAATTTAGCGGCTTGGAAACCCAAGGACTTGCATAATGACCGTACATTAAAACCATATTTTATCAATGCTTTAGCAGACCTCAAATTCTTTTCAAGATATATAGACATAAATATATCAAAAGCATTTGTCCATTGGTGAATGGACAAAAGCTCTTTGTTAGGTTTCCTATTTGAAATCGTAATATTTAAATTTTCAAATAATGTTGATTCATTACATGTATCATCAATATTAGAAGGTAACAATAGAGCAAAATTTACATAATTATCACACCAAACATCAGATTTAACCTTATTGCTGACATGGTAATCTAAAGGTATAGTATGTCTCAACATTTCACATGCATATGGAATTTCTTCATTTGAGTTTAGCTGCTCACCATCAGAAGGAGTGTTGATATTAGGATCTGAGGAAACTGGTGGTTGAAAGACAGCTAACATTGGTCCCTGGGAGTCAGTAGTTGACGAATTTTCTGGTTGTATAGATGATGACGACAATATACCAGTTAAGTCATTAATTGGAACTGCTGTATTGTCTTTGACAAGTTGAACGCCAGAACTTTGAAACTTCAGGAACAAAGCATCAGCAATGTCATTTGCGGTTGGAACAGACGACTGTTTAGTATTTGTTTCATGAACTGACAGATTTTCAGGAGCTGTTTGTCTGGCCTTGCGTCTCCGCACTGGTGGCCTGTATATTGGTGGTAACTCCTGACTTTGTTCCTCCACTAAATCGTGAACATCCTCTACCAGGTTTTGTGGAGCAGCCTTTCTTCTTGTTCTGCTTTTCTGCTTTGGCATTTTGCTATAAATACATAAAACAAAAAATAAAAATAGAAATCCTGTATTATCACAGAATTTAAAGAATGTTACTATATAAGTAAAATTTTTAAACCAAAATGTTTGTCCGGCAAATTAAACATAGTTGATATGATGATATATCAAGCAAAATATACTCATGTTTAAAATTAAGTTTGATTATGATATGCTAATTAATACTCCAAAACCAATTTTTAAAACCAACCAATATGTATAAAGTACTTCAATTGTACCAAAATCGATCCCTATTGTGACACAACCATTATAGGGAAAGACGTGATTTATTCTCTGATTAAATAAACTAATAATACACTAATATAATAGTATATAAACCATGATTATGAATAAATAATCAATAATTAAATATAAACAGAGACATATTATATTATATAACCCTGATATAAATGATGTAACCAACCATAATAAAATATAAATAAGACATTTTTCATGTCACCAGTGTCACAACCATGTGCATATAAGCACAACCACTCAGAGATATTTTGAATTATAAAATCGTTAAGGTGATGGAGTAATAATATGCAAATAATTCATAGATAACTAAATAATTGTATTGTATGTTTCTTCTTCTTCGTATGTCCTTCCAATTAGGAACAATAAGTAATAACAATCATACACGGTAGTTTGCAACGCAAGTTTGCTCGACATTACATGTACGTGAAAGGCTACCAACAGCAGCACGAACACTTCTAGCGTATATTTCCATACCTTCATCATTAAGATGAACTTTATCTTTTAATAATAAATCTGGGGTGTTCTTCCACAACCCCCTATGATGCCAGAAAGTCGCATTATCTCTTTGTTTTAGTAAATGACTAAGTTCTTTGTTTACAATGTAAACCTTGTTGTTATAATAGGTTTCCGGTCTTTCGGAATACCTCGGGAGAAGTTGACCAATAACCACGTGGTTAACATGATAGCAATTAATTATGTAATCGGCAAAAACGCTGATATCTCTTGCTAATTTTACGGGCTCATTTTCAGACGATAAATCGTTGCCTCCAACCTGAAGAAAAACTGAATGTGGCGTATATTCTTCAATTATATGCATATAATGTTGCTTTTGAACACATTTATTACCGGGGCGAAGAGTCCCTCCCCCCAAACCAAAAAATTCCACCTGGATATCGGTTCCGTCTAAACCTAAATTTAACCAACCTCGATCACAGTTTTCATGAGTAAATGTTTCTAAACGACGAATAAAAGAATTACCAAAAATTAAGGCACGCCGGACCATGGTTCAAAAGCAACTAATCTATTATAAAAATTAATAAATTAAAAATTAAGCTATCAAAAATATATTGAATAATAGTTAAGGTTCGCTTTTACCTTATAATCTGTGGATTCTTCGATGACTGCCTTTCTTCAGTACTTTTTCAGTTTTTCAGATAAAATTCAAAAACGACCTTTTCTCTCTCCCAAAACAAAGGCGAATGACCGCATGTCCGAGCACATGTAGAAATTTGATATTAATTACCGATCTCAAGAACTGACCAATCAGATAATGTAATTAGATGATCATGCATTGAACATGCAGTCCTTGACCTCATGTTGATATACTTAAACAAAGAAATGCCTTCTTACACACATGGCATTAATAAAATCAATATTATCGGAAATTCCAGCCAAAAAGTCTTTTATTTACAATAAATGTTATTTTGGGGTAATCAGTTATACCGCATGTTGCTGTTATTTCCATAGGAAAACAATCGAGACGTCCAAAAAATATATATAGGCGGTAACACTACACAGTTTTGTACATACACATGGCGACACGAAACACAATCGGAAATCCATTTTACGATATCAAATGTTTCAAAACGGAGTGGAAAATATTGTGCGCCACGTGGGCACTTACATTTGTCACTCTATGTGGCATTTCTGGTCGAAAAGGGCAATTGGCGCAAGGCGGATGTCCTTCCCGATCACTGTGTTTAATAGCTTATTTAAATGGCTGTCAAGTTCCCATTAAAAAAAATTGACTTGTATTTATTTTAATGTCGGATCGTTAAAACTCCTATCAAAATTAGATACTAGTACTTACTACTAGCAAACTTGTTGGCCATTTTTAATGGCTGCTTAGATTGTTAAATTACAATCAAAATGGTTCCCACCCCCACCCCCTCCTCCTCATGTTCACTAATACCCTTAAGCATTTCATTGTCTTAATTCAATAATTGTATTTAGATACACATTGTTCACCATGGCTTAATGATGCTCGCTGTTCAGTTTCAAATATAAATAAAAATCAGGAATAAAGGATACATGTTAAGTTCTTCTCCTTTCTGTAATTAAATTTGCTGTTTCTGTACTTCCAACTAGTATTGCTGAGTAAAGGTAACTGGAATCTGCATTCAATCTGTTTACTATCAAAATTGGCAGCTCCATTTTAAAATCATTAAATACCCTAAAAGTAAAAAAAAAATCCACAAAGAATCAATTGTTCAAGGCGTTTTGAAGCAATAAATTCAATAGAAATATTATTGCATGTTTATACAGTACATGGGAAGCCATTTGGAATCAAATTAATTACCCTCCCCCTTTTTTTATCCCCTGAAGATTAAAAACCGGTGACTTATTATTTTCACCAAATAACCATTCACACAACTCAATATTTTTTTACATGTCTACCAGTTATGCCTGTTATGTGACAACAAGATTATTCATTGTCAAAAACTCATGTTAAAAATAAATATAATTTTCAGTTTATGATTTCAGACTTTCTGATGTTGATTTGCTCAAATAAAAACAATACAAAAATCATAGTTCCTCAATAAATTATAATTTATAATCATAATATACACATGTTGAATTAAATTTTTAATGCACTTATCTGAAAACATCTGCATCAGATTTTCCAGTTTGATCTCCATATCAGCGTAATCACATTTTGATGACGTATTTCTCAAGTGCGCTAACGTCGAAGTGACAATCTCGCCCCATATTATATCGACCAGAAATTGATCCGTTCCCGTACCGGTATTGTTGTTGTTGTTGTGCTGGTATATTCCTCCGTTGACTTCGGAGCACCCTGTCGTAAACAGGTATAAGTTTACCAATTGAAAAGATTGGTGGTGGTGTTCGGATAAAAAAAAAAAAAAAAAAAAAATTAAATATATCGCTAAAAGTTCCTTTGTCTAAACTAGTGTCTCACACGATATAAAGTTCACAGATTGTTATAATAATCTATTAAGGTTCACTGCCCTAAGATTGTGCAATTCATAAATTAAATTTCTGCTGATTTCTTCAATGTCTCTGATAATGTCACTTTGTATTTCTATATAACCCATTCTGGTTAACATTGAGCAGTCCAGAATACAGTGCATGAGAAGCTCTTCATCTTTAAATATTTCTTCTGCTGTGTCAGTGCTGATTTTCCTAGCCAAAAGCTGCTTTAGTAGAGCTAAATGCTTTGAACGTGGTGACTCTAGTACTGTGCATTTAAGGATGAAATGGCATCTGTCCTCAGTGTGTGTTTTACAGAAGGCAGGTTTCAGACACTGCATGTTGATTGAATCTTTTGCGATCAGCTTGGAGAGTATAGGTACCTGTGAGAAGGCGAGCTTTGATTGTGGCTTTTGAGATGTCCCTGATGTTGTTCTGAGTTGTTTTCCAGATATTGTGTGGATGTTTGGTAGCCAGTTCTTGTAGGTTCAGATATTTTAATGATTTTTTCTGTTCAATCTCATCTCTCCAGGACTCTTCCCAGTATTTGTTGATAGCTGAATCGATTTGCTTCTTCCATAGGGTTTTACTTGGTGGATTGTTCATAATTTCGAATGCTGTTGGAAGGCTATATTTCTGTAGGATGATCCTTATATGTGTAAACCAGCTGTTACTTGTTTCATCCTTCACTGCTAACTGACGTCTGGCAATGTCATGTTCTATAAACTCTGGGTGTGAAGCAATGTTGAAAAAGGTGGTCAAGGAGTTTCGCTCTATATGGACTGTAATTGGAGTTGTCCCTAGTAAAGCATACACTGCAACGTTAGCGCATCTGTCAGGGAGCCCTTGGATCTGTTTCAGTAGTTTCCGCTCGTAGATTTCCAAAGCGTTGAGTTCTTTCTGCTGTAATTTTACTACTTCAAGTCCATATGTTATTCTGGGCCTGCTAAATGTTGTAAATATTTTATTCGTTACTACAGGATTGATACCATTTTTCCCGTGTAAGCCAGCTCCTAGTAAGGCATACATTGTACGTCGTCCTTTCTCTATTCTGCTTTCGATATCATTTTTCTTGTTGGCATTTCTCACTATCCAAATATGAGTTGTTTCCTGGACTTCTGCTATTGTTTCGTTTCCAATTTTCCATTCCTGTGGCTCCCTTCCTCTTTTGGTGTTAAAGATCTCTGCATCGCTTTTGGAGGAGTTTATTGTGACTTTGTCTATTTTGGTTGAGTCGTTCACTATATTCAGTGCACACTGTAGATCTATAGGGTTGAAAGCAATCAGAGCAATGTCATCAGCTACTGTAGGTGCCCCAATAAATGTTGTTCCAATTTTTGCCCCAGCATCATGTAGTTGTAAGGTTTGAAGAAGTTGATTGTTATATCTTTTATACAGGGATGGTGAAAGTTTTGCTCCCTGTCTAATGCCTTGTCTGGACGAATATTTTGCTCAGGTTGCCTTTCCATTTGACCTTGGTATTAGCTTCTGTTTGTAGCAGCTTAATGAGTAACCATCTTGTATCCTTAATTCCAGAGTGGAATACTTTTCTGAGGAGTATTTGGTGGTCGAGTTTATCGAATGCCTTTTCTGCGTCAAGGGTTACCACTCCAGCAGAGATGTTTTGGTCACAGGCTTCATTAATACCTTCTGTTACTACCAGCCCAGCATTAACAGGTGAAGTCTCTTCTGTAAACCCCCGCTGTAATCTACTTTGTGTGGCTTTGAGTTCATCATTTGTGTCATCTTGGAGAACAGTTTCAAGTATCTTACTCAGTACTGGAGTAACTGCAATACCTCTGTAGTTACCAGGCAGTTTAGAGTCTTTGTCCTTCTTTAATACTGGAGTTAACAAGCCTGTCTGTAGATTTTCTGGGATATAGCAGTATGTGATGATGTTCAAGATGATAGATGTTATATATGTGATCGCGGTTTCACCCCCATACTTTAGATGTTCTGCAGTTAAGCCAAGGTGGTCTGGAGCTTTTCCGTTGGACAGTTTCTGTACGGCTTTTCTGATCACATTATCATTTACTTTTAGGATAAGTTGTTTGGATTGTTGGCCTTTGATAAGTTCCTCAATGAGTAGGCAATCAATATTTATCAAATGTTGTACATCTTTGTCATATTCATCGTTGTCCATGGGTGTTGCCAAAGTTTCAAAGTGTTTTTTCAAGCCATTTAGAATTTTGTCATCATCATCCAGTATTTCGTCATCTACAATGATTACGTCTGTTTCTCCATGTCTTGTTGTTCTTTGTTCTTTGATGAGTTTGTAAAAAAAGTTTTTGGTTGAATTCTTGAGATTCCATAATGTTATTGTATTTGGTTTCTCTTATTCTGGATTGTGCTTGTCGCTGGAGTTGTCTAAATTTCTTTTTCTTACTTTTCATATCTTGATATAGTTGGTTGTTGGGGTTTCTTTGTGAACCAGTTGTTTTCCACTTGTGGTATGCAATTTTTGCCGCCTTTGAAGCTTCCTCTATTTCGTAGTTCCATGCCCCACCACCTTTTGTTCTTGTGACATTCTGTTTTTGAGCATTGTATTTTGGAATGGATGCAGTTCCTGCTTCATGTAGAACATTTGTCAGGTGCATTACATCTAGTGCAATGTCAAATTTACAATGTACAGGTGCCTTGTTCGTTTCAAGCAGCTCTTCAATTGTTTGGTTGTATACTTGCTTGTCACATTTATCCCATTTTGGCTTTTTGAATGTTATTTGGTTGGGTATGGTTTTGGGTGTTTTTGCCAACTTCTCTACTTTGATTTTACCCATGATTAGGCTGTGGTCAGATGTGTTAAGAGGTTGTAGTCCCATATTTTGTATATCTCCAATTGACTCTGCTGTTTGATTTCTTGGTGTAATGAAGTAGTCAATTGTTGCGGAGGCCTTGCCGTCATGGTGAAAGAAAGTTGCTGTTTCTGGATATTGCTTTGGAATGATCAGATCCTGTTCAGCCATGAAGGATTTTAGTGCTTTGTCGTGATCGTTTTCAGGTTTCCGAAAGAGAGAGCCGTTCATATCACCACCGATTATCAGAAGGTGGGTGTCTCTATATTTTATGATCATTTCTCTTAGACTATCTAGTACCTCCATGTATTTTGTTTTGGCTTGATCTTTTCCTCTGCTTGGTAGATATACATTTATTAAGCATATTGGCTTAGGTTTGGCTTCGATTTGTATCGCTACTATTCTTTGGTTACCATCTGGTAGGCGCTTTATAAATGTGCTTATGCTGTTGTCCCATAGGATAGCAACACCGCCGAAACCTCTTATTCTTGATGCATGGGAAATTTCGTCTTCTTCATCTGAAAATCTTGCATATGTGTCATGATTTGGGAAAAGTGTTTTAAATTCCTCCTTTTCGAATTTAAATAGCCAATGTTCTTGAATGAAGAGGATCTTCACCTTTTTCAGTGTGTTCTGTATGTAAATAACATTGCCTCTTACATTCTGTGTATTCAGACTGCCAATTTCTATTATTTCCTTGTCGTTTGGTGTTGGTATACATAGTTGTACCTCTGCTAGATCTTTATTGCTCGGTTCTGATGGTTCATTATCAGTGGTATTCCTGTCAGTAGGTCTGCCAGTATCCCCAGGGTGGTTTTGGCTCGGCCATGTCCTAAAAAAGAGACGGGAGTTATTCTACCTTCTGCTTCCTTATTTGTTTTTGAGTCTGGTTGCTGGTGGTTATTTTGCTCATTGTTTGCTTGTTGATTATTGGCCTTTGTCTGTATGGATGCAGCCATCATATTTTCATAAGGGTCTTGCTGGTTTTTAATTTGATCTATATCCTCGTTGTATACTGTTTCTGAAGTGTTGTTTCCAGATACATTACAAATTGGCTGGATTGTGTTGATGGTTGGCTGTGAGGGTTTTTGTTTCTCCTTCGACTTAATTTCCTTATTTGGAGTATTTCTCTTTCTTGTTTTTACCCTTTCTTTAGTTCCTATGTTCACTTCAGGTTGTGTCTCTGGTTCCCCTTTATGAGTGTCATTAATTACATGTATATCTTCATTTCGTTTGTTTTGTGCTACATCCTGGTCCACACTGTCTATGGCTGTTTTTACAACATTGACTTTATTTTCTATGTGGGTGTTTTTTTTTGGCATTCGTAAAAGCTTTGTATGTCTGTGGGATCTTCAGATATTTTGTTTTGTTTATCTTCCATGTTTCTGAAGTCAAGTCTTAGTTGTTCCACTGCAAGAAGTACTTGTTCAATCTTGAGTTGGTTTTGCATGATCAAGTTGTTCAGCTCAGGACTTTGTTGGTTGGATTTCTGTTGTGGTATATCGTCTGCAGCCATTAGTCGTATTAGCATTGTTGCAAGGGTTTTATCCTTTTCATTGTGTAGATCTTCTAATCTAGCTATTTCAGCTCGACATGCTGCTAATTGCTGTTCTGTGTCATTGAGCTTGAAGGGTTTTTTCTGCTTCCAGTTGGTCATTCTCTGTAAATTGCTTTATTTCTTTTTCTTTGAGTTTCTCACATGCAAAATGAAACCAGTTAAGACATGATGTGCATTCAATGGTGTTCCTGTTTGCCTCCATAGTGCAGATTGGACAAGTCCATACTTCATCATCTTTTGTGCAGATATGTTGCATTGTTGGTACATCTTGATTGTTTGTCTCTTTTGCGATGGTGAAACTGTTATCCAGGCAATCCATGGTTTGTTCTAATTCTATTGAACTATCTAACAGGTTATCTTGTACCCACCCTTGGTTGTTTGACTGATTCAGGTTTAGGTTTAAAATTGGCTGACATTGCTGTCTTTGTTCGTCAATATCAGTTGTACCATTATTTGTTTCATTTCTTGATTGCATATTTTCTGTTATGTTGCTGAGTTCTGCTTCAAGCTGTTGTCTTGTTCTATATGCAAGTGATCGGTATGTTGGATCATTCTGTATTTCTTGAGTAATTCTGTTATGGTCTTCCAAGAACAGATGA